TTCCTCACAACCCTGCAGGTAGGAGAAGTTCAAGGCAGAACGAGCAGGCAGCAGAGGCAGCAGCAAAGGGAAGAGCTTTTCCAGAGAGCACATGGGCTGGAGTTCACTGCTGCCGGAATCTGAGGAGGCCGGAGCAGGCACGGCCTCAAAAAGGCAGGAGAGCACTTCACAGAGGATGGATGGGGTCAGCAGAGGGAGAGCTGCCAAGGATTCCTCCTCAGGAAAGATCCCTGAGCTGTGGCAGCACGGAACATGCAGGATTTTCATGAACATCCCCATCAAAGCATCCCTGAGGGAAGAGGGGGACAGGGGCTCAGTTTGTCCCTGGTGCTGGCACAGGTGTCCCCATCAGGAATATCACAGTGAGCACTGGGGAACCCTGAAAATGCAGGTTTTTTTATCCAAAACCACAATTTCTCAGCTGAGAAAATAGACAGCTCTGCCCCAAATCCCATTCCAGCACAGTGGCAGCAGTTGGAAACCAATAAATACTGGGGGTAAAAGGAGGGAGTTACAGCAATTAGGAGAAATGAGTCGTTCTGGAGTGTAGAAAATTAACAAGCAAAGCCAAAGACATTGGGGGAAAATCAATTATTACAAAGTCAACACAATAAGTGCTTTAAAAAATGCGCCGGGAAGAGGTGGAATTCAGGAACTGTCAATTCCAAGTGGAGATTGCAAAATTGTTAATTATGGAGAAAAATGCAGAAGTATTGACTAAATAGGTGGAGTAATTTGGGCTGAGACATAACAACGTAGGATGTGGGACCTGCCCATGTGTTGGGAACCAGGAAAGGCATTTGAAATAGAAATATTTGACATAATGGAATGGAATAATTTGCAGTAAAGAGTGGGATCTCTGCTCTGGAGCTGTCCATGGGGCTTGGGAGCCTGGGGAGGGCAGGACTGGCAGGGCAGCGATGCCACGAGCAGCTGGAGGAGCTGTGCAGTGCTCCCTGCCCTGGGCAGCCCCAGGGAACAGCTGGATTAATGGCTAAAGCAGGGAAGGGCTGATGGAAATAGCACTGACGTCAGTCACTGTGCCTGATGGCAGGGGACACTGGGCACTGGCATTACGTGACAGGTCTGGCTTTTAAACCTCTCCTTAGGCATGGTCCTGGCCTCTGTGAGGAACAAGGGCTGCTGCAGGCATTCCCACAGGGCTGCAGAGGCAGAGCTGGTTTGTGCTGGGCACAGAGCAGCTGGAGACTGACGGATGCTCCCAGCTGATAATGGGGATTTTATCACTTTCATTATTATTGTTTTTATTGTTTTGCATGAACACTGCTCTGAGGTTGGACATCAGCAGGAATTTCTCCATGGAGAGGGAGGTCAGGCCTTGGGAGGAGCTGCCCAGGGAGGTTTGGAGTGCCCAAGGAACACCTGGATGTGGCATTTGGCACTCGGGGCTGGGGATCAGGCATGGCTTGGACTCGATGAGCTTGGAGGGCTTTTCCAGTCTGGGATTCTGGGATTCTGAGCATGGCATAGTGAGGCAGATCCGGTTTATCCAGAGCTTAGGGAAGGGAAGGGAAGCTTTGTTGGGATTCCTTGTGGAGCCAGGTTCTCCTGGAGCTGCTCCTCGGCACCCGCTGCCATTCACCGCTGCAATCAATGGTCTGGAAGGAAATCTGAAATCACTGCTGATAAACCCGTGGCTGCCACGGAGATTGGTGGAGTGGGAGATGGTGCTGGGGACGGAGCAGCCATGCAGAGCAATCCAGATTGCTTGGTAAACCGGGCCCATTTAAACAAAGTGCATATTAACGCAGCCCAGCACGGAGGAACGGAGCTCTGGCTGATATCCTGGGAAGTGCTGGCTGTAAAATGGATTCAAGGGTCACGCTGCATGAGTAGCTCAGGGTTAAGAGGCTGGCACAGACCTCAGGTGGAAAAACCTGCGAGGTTGGAAGGGCAGGAAGGCGCTGCAGGAAGCCCTGGTGAGATGGCACCTGCAAAGGTCACCTCTGATGAGGAACGGGGAAAAACTGGGGCAAGCAGAGATGAGGGCCCCAAAACAGATTTGCTGTTTGCAGGTTGTGACTCGGTGCTGCTGTGTTTGACTCCTCACACAGAAGGCTCTGCTGTGCCTGGACTGCCCTGCACAGGCAGCTCCTTGTGCAGAGGGCACTGCCTGCTCCAAGGCTCTTTACCCTCCCCAGAAAGGTCACACCAAACCCAGTTTCTGTGAGTCAGGGCCAGACAAATCAATTCCGTGCTTTTCCATGATTCCAGAGCCGGGCTGAGGGGGTGGAGAGCATCCCAGGGACCCGCTGGTGGGGCTGGGCACAGAGGGAGGGGGCACTGCCCGTGCCAGTGCCACGCTGCCCTGTGGGCTGCAGGGACAGGGCTCAGAGCCCCGCAGTGAGAGGAGCCCTTTCCAGGGCTGCCTGGTGACATTTGCAGGAGGTGTTTTTCAGGTACAAGCGCTGCTGTTGGGATGCAGCCCCCCCGGGCTGGGGGGATGATGGCTGTCACAGGCTGGCTGTGGGACGATGTTGATTTGTGTTATCTCAGCACCCTGAGGAGCGGGGCTGGTGCAAGCAGGAGGGAAAGCAGGAGGGAAAGCAGGAGCTCGGGATGGGCGAGGCAAGGCAGGAAATTGGTTTCAGCTGGGTGGGCAGGGTGCAGGGGGAGGGCAGTGCCAGGCTCTACACGATCCCTGTGGGCTGGGAGGGTACTCCAGAGGATCGTTGTCACCTGGGCAGTGCTGCCATGTCCTCAGCTCCTCCAGAGCCCTCCCAGGAGGAGCTCACCTGTGCTTCAATGGCAGGGCTTGAACCCTCTGATCTGGCAGCCCCATCCTGTGCCCCCTCTGCTGTGCCCCATTCTGTGCCCCCTGTGCTGTGCCCATCCTGGCAGTGTCCAAGTTGGGCTGGACAGGGCTCGGAGCCACCAGGGCTGGTGGAAGGTGCCTGCCCATGGCAGGGGTGGGATGAGATGAGCTTTAAAGCCCTTCCAGCTCAAACCCTGCCATGATCCTGTGATTACACCTGGGCAAAGCCTCCACTGTGGGTTTTTGCCACAGTGATTAACCCAGTGTTCCCCGCTGCAGGTAGAGGTCACTCCTTTTCATCTGCCAGTGGTCCCAAGCAGAGGCTTTTCCTTTCCAGCCTTAACCTTCTCTTCCCTGGACCAATTTCTCTCTTTTTTTGAAATATTTCATCATGGTTTTTAACGATTGCTTGTCTGCTCTTCTCTGCTGAAGTGGAGCACTCTCCCAGCTCAGCCTCCTGGCACATCCCAGCCCATTCACACATCCCAATATTGATGCATTTTTGGGTGGGAGGCTGGCAGCAGGGGTGGATCCCCATGATGAGCAGTGATCCTCAGCCAGCTGTGAGTGCTCCTCACGAGGGTGCAGATGTGACAGACCCATCCCACATCTGTCATGCCAGCAGCTCATGAAAGCACAGCCCAGCCACGGATTCGGGACACAACCCAGAGCTTTCATTTGATCCATGATCCCAGCAGAAAAGGCTGTCTGCAGTAATTCCTGCGGGAATAACACTTTCCAAATGATTTGCACCCACATTACCCAGACAGGGATGTACCGTGCTGCACCTCTGCTGTTTGCTTGCATTACTTATGAGAAAATCAGCTAAAACAGTGTCAAAAAAAACTTCCTCAAGTCGAGCTAGAACATTTACTGCTCCTCCTCCCTCCACGAGGCCTGCTGTCTTTTCAAAGGAAGGAGTTCAATGACTTGACATGTTTGTTTGTGACAAACCTACAGTGGCTGTTACTCATTTCCTTGTTATCTTGTAGGTACTTACAAAGAGTTCTTTTATCTGCTTCAGTATTTTTCCAGGAACTGAAATTAAGCTAACTGTTTTATAATTCTCCAGCTCTTCTTTTTTCTCATCATTAAAGACAGGCGCTATTTTAGCTCCCTTCCAGTCTTCTGGAAGCTCCCTGATTCTCTACAAATTCCTCAGGAAAAAAAAAAAAAAGTCTTGGGGAAAAAAAAAAAAGGCAGCCCTAACAGCTCTGAAGTTACTTACATCAGGTCTCTAAGCATCTGTGGTGAATTTAATCAGGTCCAACCAACCTTAAAGCAGCTCATCTAAATGCTCCCTCTGTGTTCCTTCCCTCTGTTCGTCTCAATTCCTTCCCCTTCCTGGCCGGTGCTGGCTCTGTGTGGGACGCCTGATTGCCACTGATTTGTAGGAAAGACACCAGCACAGAAAAAGGTATCCAGCCTAAACGTTGTGTTGGCTCCTCTCTCACCTCATCACCTTCAGATCCCCATCAAATAATTCCTGTCGTGGGCTTTTCCCCACGTTTCTGGTGGGGAAACATTGTGGTGGTTTTTTCATGCTCTCGGTGGTTGTGTTTCATTCCCCTCTCTTGCCCCTTGAACTCTCCACTCCACTCCTCGGTAATCACACCAAAGAAGGATTTGGTGGAAGGATTTGGAGCAGGATAATGATGTGGCTTAATGGCTGCTGGCAGGGAGCTGCTCCGAGCTGAGGCAGAGCTGGGGAGGGAGAGTGTGAACTGGGGTCTTGGAAAGGCTTAACGAGGTGAATCCTGAGGATGGGAGCTGGGGTCAGGCCAGGGGCTGGCAGGGGAGGGAGGATGTGGCTCTGTGCTGGGCAGGGATGCCATCAGAGAGGCTTTGGGGTGGCCTCGGCCAGACTCTGGGGTTGCATCAGGAACCTGCCAAGTGGGGACTCTTGGTCAAGGGTGGGGACAGTGATTGAGGAGGCTGTGCTGATGGGGGGGACTTTTCCAGAGCTGTCCTGACATGGGAGGGGACACCTGGGTGACAGACAAGGCTGGGACAGAGCTGTGGGGGAAGTGATGGGTTGGGGCAGCACAGGGACCGTGCAAAGTGTGCTCCCTACATGTGATGGGGAGCACTTGGCTGGGAAGGAGCCTGGTGCTGAGTGTGCCAGGACGGCTCTGGGGGCTGAGGATGGGGTCAGGTTGGATGTCCCCACCCTTTGCTTTCACCTGTCAGGTGGGTGATGCAACATCTTCTCTCTTGCCTGCAGTTACCTCATCGCCGAGTGACGTTCTCTGCAGCCAGCCAGGCTCAGGACCTGCAGGACCCCTCCCAGCACAGCTACTACGACAGCGGGCTGGAGGAATCCGAGACCCCCAGCAGCAAATCTTCATCAGGGCCCCGCATCGGGCCCCTGGCCCTGCCCGAGGACCACTACGAGCGCACCACGCCCGATGGCAGCATCGGGGAGATGGAGCACCCCGAGAACGGTACATGCCCGCCCGCGCGCCTGTCCCCTCCCTGGCACTGTCCCCGAGGCTGCTGGCCCTCCATGATCCCTGTCCCCGGTGTGGGTGACGTGGGAGCTCGGCTGGGACACGCTCGGCTTGGTGGGGATGAGGATGGAGAAGAGGGGAGGCTCAGAGCAAGAGAGCAGCAAGAGGGGTGGGGACGGGACAGGTGGGTGAGGGAGGGGAGGTCTGGGTGAGCTGGGGGAAGGGAGGAGTCAAGGAGACCGGTGGGTGGGGCAGAGTACAGGTGGGTGTGGCAGGAGATGGGTGTGGCCAGAGATGGGTGTGGCAGAGATGGGTATGGCAGGAAGCAGGTGGGTGTGGCAGGAGATGGGTGTGGCAGGAGATGGGTGTGGCAGGAAGCAGGTGGGTGCGGCAGAGGACAGGTGGGTGTGGCAGGGGACAGGTGGATTTGGCCCCACACGGTGGTCTGAGATGGCAGCACCGCTACTGAGCAGAAAGGCTGTATCCCAGCCCATGGGGAGCTCGTGTGCTGCACTCAGGGGTCCCCTGGTTGCCCGTCCCCAACCTCAGGGGGATTGGGGTGTGCTGGAGCTCCCCGTGTGTGTTTGGGATCGGAGCTATGGGAGGTTCCAGGGGGCAGAGCAGGTTTAGTGGCACAGGCTGGGCTCAGGAGATCCATGGAGCGGAGGCTCATTGAGCGTGGTGGTGACGGTGGCAAACCCCAGAGAGACATTTCCCTTCCCCCTGCCCCTCAGGTCACCTCCCCGCGGGGTCCAGCTTTCCCTGGGTACCCTGGGGGTGTCTGTGGTGTCACCACCAGAGAGCTGCTTCCCCGTGGTCCTGCTGCTCGTGCTGCCCCGTGCTGCCCCCCTGGCTGCAGCCCACCCACCCCCCAGCTGTCTTCTCCGGCCAGCTCCCGTTGTTTCCTTGGATTTGGCTCTGGCTGTGCACATAACATCTTCTCTCCTGTACCTGCTGCCTTCTGCGCTTGTGTCCCCAGGGGAGGTGGCTGTGGAGGTGGCAGGGTCAAAGAAACTTCTGGGAGGGAAGAGGAGCAGGAGTCAGAGGGTTCTCCTGTTTCTGGGAGCATCCTTGGCTTTGGGACAGGTGTGTGTGTGGTGGGAAGATGGCTGAGTGTGTGTTCAGATGGTTTTTAGGGAGCTGCAAACCTGCTGGGTCCCTCTGTTGTGGAAATGGACAGGTCTAGTGGAACATCTCTTCCCAATTCCCAGGTTATTCCTGGAGTAACACTCGAGTTCTCTGTGTTACAACCATTGGAGCGAGGCGTGGTGGGGTTCCCAAATCCATCTGTTGCACCCTCCTGTCCATGAATGTTGTGCAGATGACTTTCTCCCCAAAAGTGCCAGTCAGTCACCTGGGAGGAGCAGTTTGGAGCAGTTCCTGGAGCCCTGGCACATGGTAGCAGTACTCGGAAGAGAGGCTGGAAGGGTGGTGAGCGCGGAGATGCCCCACGGATGAGCTGATGGATATGGCGAGGTAGTGGGGGTGATGGAAGTGGAAAAGGAAAGGTTGAGCCCTGGAATGTGACAGGAAACTCAGGGATGATGAGGGAGGAGCAGGGCTAAAAGTAGAAACAGGGGAGAGAGAGGAGCACCTGGAAGGTGGAGGGCAGAGAGGGTTGTCTTGGGATTTTCCTTGGAATGTTTGTTGTGCATGCAGCTGGATGGGCAGAGCTGAGGAAGGCCAAGGGACACTGCCTGGAGATGCCAGGGATGGCTCCCTGCCCACAGCATCACAAACCTGCCCTGCAAACCAGCTCCCTGTCTTGGCACAGGGTGCCCTGTGTGTGCTCACCTCCCAGGAGAGCAGGAATCACCCCACACCCAGATCCCTGTGTGGTGCAGACCCTGCGGAGGCTCCCAGGAATAACCACAACTCTGCTCCGCTCTCCATCCCCCAGAATGTCCTGTCTTGGCTCCCTTCCCATGGCAGGGGTTGGGAATCAGGCTACAGGGGCTCCAGCATCTCTCCTGATGCCGGAGGACATCCTGTGCTGGGTGCAGAGGCTGTGGCAGGGCAAGGCTCTTGGGATCCCCCAGCATTATCCCGAGCTGGTCCTGGTGTTGTGCAGATAATCTGGCAAGGCAGTTCATGGGGGACCTGAGGCACTGGGCTCAGGGTTGTGATCCTCTAAGCAGACTGTGAGGGCATCCTGGCACTGGGACAGGAGGTTTGGGGATTAGGAGGCACTGGGGTGTTCGAGCAGCTCACCAGAGTTGTGTTTGCTCTGTCCCCTGCCCGAGGTGGGGCACATCCACACCTGTGCTTCCAGCCAGACCTTGTTAGCCCCGATAAGCATCATGGCTTGTTCCTGCAAAGGCTCTCCAGTGATGTGGGACCGTTGTGACCTTTTGGGGACCATCCCACCATGTCCTTGCCTTGGCTCAGTCGGCAGCCCCAGCCCCTCAGAGAGCTCAGATGTTGGGGTTTTGGGCAGACTGAGCTGTTCCTGACCTTCTGTTAAACCGCGGAGCCGTGCTGATCCCGCACCCCCATCCCGCGGCACGAGCGCCAGGCTGACACCACTGTGCATTTTCTCAGCTTTCATCTGGTTATAAATATCCAACATAACAGGGCTTCCATTGCTTTCTCCAGGAGATTATCCCTGCAGCCGAACCAATCTGATAAGCAAGTATGCAAGGCTATTTATAGCGTTTCAACTGGAAGACAGATCCATGCCTTTTCTTTGTAGATGGTTCTTCACTTGATTAACACACATCTCAGTGTCCTCCTTTTTTGGACCCTTTCTGCTGTGCAGACTGCAGTGAAATGCTGTATTGCAGGGGCTGAACCAAGCCCTTTGCTGGAGGAATTACGCTGGTTCTGGTGAACGCTTCTCCGGGAGCTTGGCACTGACGTGGCAGCTCCTCAGTCATCCCAGGCGTTTGTCATCCCTGCTATTTTCCCTCTCTGCCCACTGTTTCCTCCCCAACATTTCCCTGCGCTGTTCCCCACCTTGGTGGGGCCTGCTGAGCTGGGAATGAAGCTCAGGCTCCCACTTGGCCACCCAGTGCTTTTCCCAAAGACATCTGTTCCCCCCGGATCCCAGATTTGCTTTGGCTGGAAGGAGCCTGGGAATGCTGGTGCTCCATAGGGGCTCTCTCCTGCCATAATGCACCGAGGGGGTGCATTATGGATGGGGACAGTGCCAGTCACACTCCATCAGCCATCAAGGGAATTTAACAGGATTTCAGGACCAAATATGAGAAATTTGGGAGCTGTTACACGGAGCTTGTTTTCCTTCCATCCCTGTGTGGTGCAAGTGTATCTGAGATTGTGTTTTATTGGATGAGGCATTTCTGATTCATGTTTTTCCACCCCCAAAATCTGTTTTATGGCTGTTATTTAAAGTGAGGACCCTATGCCATTTTTAATGCATGCAGTTACAACCGTGCTCTGAGTATGGAATAAAAAACCACCTCATGAGCTTTCCCAACACTCTCTGTGCCGTAGGATCTGCTCTTCCCAGATGTTCATGAGTTTATCCTCACAGTTCCAGGGAAGAAACTTCGCCATAGGTGGGGAATGAAATAGAAAATTGCAATTTGCATTTTTCGGAGGTGGCTGCTCGCTCTGGGTGACCCTGGATGAGCTGGCAGCTCCTTCCTTTGCTGTTGGGATCCTGGTGTTCCAGAGGCACGGGGCAGGAATCTGGCTGCTCCCAGGTGCCAGAGCCCAGGCTGCTGCTGACATCCGAGGTGGGAGCAGAGCTTGGCTTTGGGACTTTGTGGCAGAGCTGGTTTCGAACCCTCCTGCCTGGTTCAGGCTTTGCTAAGCCCAGCGTTTTTCTGGTGCTGTCTGAGCCCCTCCCAACACCCTGGCACAGCTGGAGTGCATGGATGGAGATTCCACTTCCCAGGTTTGGCTGCTGGGCTCAATAAAACCCCCCCAGTCCAGGTTTTGCTTTGTTTCAGGGAAGATTTAGAGGGATGCATTGCAGAGGAAGAAGGAGCAGCTTGTCTTACCCGTGTGTGGCACAGCCATGAAATCCCAGCCTGTGATTCTGCTGGGAGCATCCCATTAGGAATTTCCCACTTGTTTAGCACAGTGTGTGAGACCCCAGGTGAGCCCTCCCAGTGGAAGGTCCTCTCTGCCCCCAGTTTCACCAGTCTACGCTTAAACTCTGCTCCAGCTCCTCCCATTTCTTCCCACCGAGTCCCACAAACCAGAATTCCCTCTCCTGGTGCGTACTCGGAGATCCCATTCAGGCAACTCAACATTTAAAGATCTCTTTGAAAGAAAACTGAGTCAAGTCCCTCCCTGTGAGCAGAGCCAAGGCAAGGGATTTTGGCAGCTGGGTGTCTCTTCCTTCCTCCCACCCTTCCTCGCGCTCCTCCCAGCCATTGCCATCTGCTCCTGCCACCACCACAGACCTGCAGCCTCCTTCCTGGGCAGCAGCAGCATCTGGCACATCTTGGATGTGTATGGTGCCTTTTGGCAACCCTTGCAGAGGCAGCCTGGGGAGAAGTTTCCCTCCTCCTCTCTGCTAATTTCTGATTATAGTTCAAGCCTTCCATTCCTCTGGCTCATTTTCCTCTCTGCGTGGTCTCCAGTTTGCCCACAAGCTTTTGGTGGGCTGGATGTGTCCAGGTGATGTCCCACAGCCCCCCAGCAGCACTTGGTGACATCCACAGCAGCTCCAGGTGCAGGGATGATGTGCCTGGGAGTGTTTGTGTTCACAGCGTGACCATGGCATGGAAACGTGGCTGCACCTGGCTGTGTGTGCACCCTGCAGTGCCAGGGATCAGGGAATGGTTTGGCTTGAAAAGGACCTTAAACCCCATCCAGTCTCACCTGCCATGGGCAAGGACGCCTTTCCCTATCCCAGATTGCTCCAGCCTGGTCTTGGGCACTGCCAGGGATCCAGGGGCAGCCACAGCTGCTCTGGGCACCCTGTGCCAGGGCCTCACAGGGAACAATTCCTAATTCCCAATATCCCATCCATCCCAGGGAACGTTCCACCCTCCCAGGGAACAATTCCTGCCCAATATCCC